TGAAATAACTTATTACATGGAACCTTAAAGTGATCTGTTTTTATTCAAACATATTTGTTCTGAATTTACATTGAGCTCACTGGATATCATCCTCCTTGGGTCTACCCATACGGATTAACTAATTTTGCATATATATATATATATATATATATATATATATATATATATATATATATAGAGAGAGAGAGAGAGATTACATCTCATATTAAATGAACTTGAATCACGTACGTTATAACTAGTATATATTAACTTGAGTAGATTATTCAAAACTCTATAACTTTTAGTACAACGAGTTTTAATTTAGCTCAAATTGAAAGTCAATAAATAATTATGTTGCGAATTACAAATTCAGCATTTTCCCTCATTCACTGTTTCCGCCATGATTATTTTTGATTTATGTTGGACGTTCGAATAATTTTATTGCTGTGAATGAACAAACTGTTTGCAATTAAAATATCGTGATGTCCGAAAAGAATACGAGACACAATTTTTCATGTTTCCAATAATTATTAATTTCTGGATTTCTTTAAATTAACATTGACGGGACAATATGTTTGGAGTTTCTGGTCTTCTTAATCCTCTCATTCTTTTTCTATTAAGCCGTATGCTTATATAACTTCCCACTGGAACGTTCCTTTGTGCATGTATCTCCTAAGTTCAATTGGATGCACTGATTATATTGTTGCAATCACTATTTTTTTTTCGATGCCCGATACTGCATTTTGTGTCTAAGATTTATTACTGATACAGTAATTGTGGCACAAAGCCGGAAAATGGGGGTAGATTGGTCAAGGCTTGTCATCACTAGCTAATCGAATTCACGACCAATTCATTCATTACAATATACTTATTCCCCATAAGAATTTATCAGTCACCGTTTGCTCCTTCATACATCTTCATACATTACACCCACTGGGCAGCTGCAAGGAAAAAACAGTGTGTCTTTGTAAATACCTAGGCCGACCCACGTGGTTATAATATTTTCTTTTTCAGTCGTGTCACCTATTACAAAACTTATTGTATCTTCTCGGGTGAATTCAGTACATATTGGGACAACAATATACCAATACTGCTTTGACAAAGATTACTAATAGACACTAAATTCGATACATATGTTTGCTAGTTCCTGGTTTGACTCATTCTCTACACCAACGAGAATATCGACAAAAAATCATTATTTGATTTCATTTTATACGCGGAAGTTGGGTTCTTACAGTGAATGTTATCGTGGTGCAATGTTTTACATATAGCGAGAAAGCTTTATATAGATTTATATAATAAATAATTTATCGATAGTTGTCGTGATTAAACTTTCCGGGAAATTTAAGCTCTTGTGTCAATACTTAATATAAACCCTGAAAAATGTAATTACTGCCTCACATCTCCCCATTTATAAAACTTCTCACTCAGCATCATACTTTTAAACAACATTCAAGGAAAGCAAATACCTATTTTGTTGTTCGTTTGATACAATATTTGCAATGATTTTTAAATTTTATGTAGGTAAATAATCAACCAATAAAAAACAATGGTTAACTCACTTGATTTTTATGTTCCATATCTCTTATACACGACGCGTCCTTTTCGGAGGCATTTCTAACCTAAAATGAAGAAGAACGTGTTAAAGTTTTATCAGAAATATTTATTAAGATAAAAAAGAAATAGGGTGAATAAAAGAGTGAAAGGAGAGAGAGAAAGGAGAGAGAGAAAGAAGAGAGAGAAAGGAGAGAGAGAAAGAAGAGAGAGAAGAGAGAGAGAAAGGAGAGAGAGAAAGAAGAGAGAGAAAGAAGAGAGAGAAAGAAGAGAGAGAAAGAAGAGAGAGAAAGAAGAGAGAGAAAGAAGAGAGAGAAAGAAGAGAGAGAGAGTTAATGATAGGGAGAAAAGAGATGTGGCCAAGGTGAGTTTGAGAGTGGCAAAGAGAGAAAAAAAGATTGAGGAGTAAAGGTAGAAATGATACAATGAAAATGCGAAGCAAAACAAAACAAGATTGACAGAAAGACAAAGAAGTGCGGCGAAATAAAAAAAACAGAAATCTCGCTATTGACTCGATTTCAATGACTCTGCACCAGAAGTCCATAGAAACTATGACTTTTTTATTAGTTTATTTATACATGTAAAATAGTTACAAAAAGTCACATAGCGAAGAATATGTCAATTTATTAGTAAATATAGTCTGTCTTTAAGAATGAAAATTTTCCATCGAACATACGAATTCCATGTTTACATTCGTTGTCACCCAAATATACATACCAAATTTTTCGAAGATAGTGTTTGTTATAAAAGCTGAAAAATAATATTGAAAGAGTGGAAAGAAGATGATTTGCTAATGAAAATAATTAAGTTTATTTTGTAAAAGTAAATTTTATGCAATATTCAACGACATACGTCTTTGGATTGTTGTGAATCACGTTTTCTTTAAATAATCTAATTTGCATGTATTTCAACCGAAAGTAAATTGATGGATCTCTCACGGGAAACATTTCTTAAAAGTGTCGTCATAAACGCGAAGACGGATTGAAAGTTCACCCAATGTTTAACATCAATGAAAATCGTATAGACAAAAATTCAGGACCGCGATCTTGTTTGTGCTCCCATCATATATATATATATATAAAAATGATGCAGTTTTAGTTGAAAATTACTTAAGTCTAAATAATCACACATTAACTGGTAAAGGTTATAGACTGTAGTTTTCCTACAAAGCGACTTATAATTTTTATAAAATGTGAAACTTTTGATTTTCAATACAAACTTATGTAAACGAACAATATGGCTAGAAAAGCGGCAGCATGGTTGACAAAGAATCTGAATTTGAATTTATTTTAAGTGATTTATCTGTTTAGAAGAAAAAGGTTACGAGGAACAAATGTCATTTTTCATCTCTCGTTGCTCTAGTGTACGGCATAAATAAACACAGAAAGAGATAGAAAGTGGTGTACTCGATAAACACAAGAGAAAAAAAAGACCAAAAGAAAAAAGAATCTAATAAGAAAACTGAAGAAAACCATTATTTTTGCGCGAGCAGTGATGTGCTTAAAAATATGGTCGCTTTACAAAAATATTCATTAGTAGACATAGTATCGGGATAGTTATATCTTCGAGTTATACATATTTTGTGTTGGAAAGAGATTTCAAAATTGATATTTTGCATGAATAAAGTGAAACAAATCACTGTTAGTTTCTGAAAAAATGATCATAAATCAGAGCGTGTCTCGATTCGTTCATCAGAAAGGATTCAAATATTGATATTTATTCATCAACATATATTGAACGCTTCTGGAGTCCAAAAGGTCTATGCAAACCGAGTTCTTTGTATAATTAGTTACATCAATGGCGATAACTATGCATGTAATAATTCTCATTTCAGATTGCCCATACGCACCATACAAACGAAAAACCCTTTGACAATACATATCTAATAGTGGTCACTATGTGGAGAAATAATATTGTGTAGTTAAGAATCTTCTCAATCAGTTTTATTGTCTCCCACGTATTTTTTTCTATTTTTATGACAATCTATGAGATGCCTTACATTCGGACAGGGTCTTATATAAAGAAATATGTAGTGTTGTTGGCTATGTATAATGCGTTATGTGCCATGCGTGATACACGCTTAGGCGATCTATTATCTTTCGATACATGACTGACGAGGTAGATTTTTTCACGCAGTAGGTTGCCATTTCTTTCTGCGGTACACCAGTTGCCATCTAATGCAAACCGGTCTATCCTGCTATTTACCCATAGCTAGGGGGAGAAGAGTATTCATACTTTTCCCAAGGGTATTAGCACGTAAGTGAATACAATAGATTTGACTGAAATCCGAGCCGCTATCCATTACCTACCGTGCCACATCAATGTATACGTTTTTAAAATAACTTTGAATAAGAATTGTATAAAAACTTGACTAATACTCTGTAATCTTTCCATGTGGCGTGCCCTTCAGTGCATTGAGTATCATGGCTTTCCACAATTTCTTGTCCTTTGTAACTCATAGTAAATTTTATTGTAAAATCCTAAATTCTGTTCTGCCACCGATTTGCGCAAGGTAGGCTATCTGCCGTTTTCTTATGTCCACCGTGCCTTCGATGTCAAATTTTCTTAACTCTATTTCTTCATTATGTACGTTAGAAATGTTAACAGTCTTTGAGATGTTAAGTTATAACTGTCGTTTCTCTCAACCATTGGCGTCGCGCACATTTTAAGTCAATCGTATATTCACCATGCATTTGTATCGCCGCCTCCCTGTTACTTCAAATCACTTCATATGTGAAGAGACTGTCCAAGATTTACTGCTACGTAGGAAGACTGATTTTATGTAATAGCTTAGTACTCTGTTTCTAACGGAATTTTGCTGTTAATACTTTGCTTAGCTCTGGAATGGCATCCGGATATCGGTGTCGCACTTTCTGTCTAGTGAAGCTATTTTTTTATATTTTCATTCATATTTTTTTTTTTATTCTCTATTAAAATGTAACGGGAGTGAAATTTTCAAAAATCTATTTTATTAGGATAATAAATGCAGAAATATAATCCATACAGATTTAAAACTATTTAAATGTGTGGCATTAAATTGCATACCATTTTATGCAATAGGAATTTAAATCCAGCTTGCAACATAAATAGAAGAATTCTGTTTGGAAATTAATTGCTAAACATAGCTTTTAGAAATATGCTAAAATATTGGAGGATCGAGTAAATAACAATGTTACGAAGCTAGCGAATTTTTTTCGAAAAATTCCCAGCTCTTTACAAAAGAAATATTAAAGGAAGCATGTAAAAATAATTAAAAACTTTGTGGAAAGTATTTTTTATTATTCATGAATTGAGTATCCACAGGTACAATTTTCAACCACTTACCAAGACGCAAGAAAGCAGAGGTAAAACAAGAAAAAGGTTCTGATATAATCGGTTGTACCATCCAGCATTCTGAAATAGCAGAATAACAAGTGAAGGAAAAAAACACCTTTTTTATATAAAGTTTATAGAAGAAACAAAGAAAATCAGAAAACTAATGGAGAAATGTGACTAAGAGATAGGGAAAAAATCTTGTCTCTCCAGAGAAGAGAGATACGGGAAGGTGGAGAGAGATGAAAAACAGAAGACACAGGGGCGGACTGCAACTCCAGACAGAAGACACAGGGGCGGACTGCAACTCCAGACAGAAGACACAGGGGCGGACTGCAACTCCAGACAGAAGACACAGGGGCGGACGGCAACTCCAGACAGAAGACTGGGCAACTCAACCCAGACAGAAGACACAGGGGCGGACTGACAACACAGGGGCGGACGGCAACCAGACAGAAGACACAGGGCGGACAGCAACCCAGACAGAAGACACAGGGGCGGACGGCAACTCCAGACAGAAGACACAGGGGCGGACTCAGACAAAGACACACAGGGCGGACAGACCCAGACAGAAGACACAGGGGCGGACTGCAACTCCAGACAGAAGACACAGGGGCGGACTGCAACTCCAAAAAGAAGACACAGGGGCGGACGGCAACTCCAAAAAGAAGACAGGGGCGGACGGCAACTCCAAAAAGAAGACACAAGGGCGGACGGCAACTCCAAAAAGAAGACACAAGGGCGGACGGCAACTCCAAAAAGAAGACACAAGGGCGGACGGCAACTCCAGACAGAAGACACAAGGGCGGACTGCAACTCCAGACAGAAGACACAAGGGCGGACTGCAACTCCAAAAAGAAGAAACGGTGGGGGGTGGAGGAAGAATTGTAACTACAAAGCGAAGAAACGAGGTGCTGGGAGAAGAACTTTACCTCCAGGAAAACCCACAGGCTCAGTTAAATAATGCTAATTAGAATGGAAACGGAAAGACAAAAACTGAACACGATATCGACCGAGATACAAAGATCACAAATTCTCTTCGTATATACAATTTTCTTCCATTTCTCAACGTGATTTGATCTTTGATTTACTAAATCTTCTAGTCAGAAATTTAGATAGTAATATTGTGATGAGGCTGAAAGTTGTATCCTATCAGAAAGATCGATATTAGGTTTGAACGGAAACATAGGCAGACCGTTAGAAATTGTTTCAAAATAGATTCTTCTTCATGTAGCCCATGCAATCCAGTGAAAACTGAACTCGCCAGGATGAACATGCTACAAGTCTGTCCCTGCATTTGTCTTTTCGTCAAAATTTACTTTTCTACGTAATTTCTCCTCTATTTTTCTTTCATCCTTTTGAGAAGTTGAGTAAGTTTTGTTTCCGTTCAGCATTATTTACACTCATCCCGCCACATAGATATTTGTCGGAGTTAACTCCTCCTTAATTGTCCAAATATTTCCCTAGGGCACGCGCTCCCTACACTATAAAAACTGAGCGATTTCTTTTATAGTAATCTTTCTCCTTTGCATTTCAGCGGACACATTTAAAAATGTGACCTCTCGCAGAGATACGCGTTTTCGTCCACTTGTGGGAAAACGCCATGAACACACGTACATACAGGTACGTACGAACTTTTACCAGTATACAAACTCTTTACGTTCACAAATGTTGATGTCTTTGTCACTTGTAAATATATATATATATATATATATATATATATATTTCGGTCTTGTTTGTTTTCATTACATCTTCAGCTGGACTCAACTTGAGTCCACATTGTTCTTGAAGTTCGACCTTCTTCTAAAAGGAATAAACAGCACGTTTTCCTAAACCCACACTTTCCACTACATATTGATTATTTCTTCCATTCAGGAGAAAATAGATACATCGAACTAAATCGATACATGGTTTTAAAATACTTCAGTTAGCTTCAGGCAATAATCACTTGGATGTCTATCACTCATATAGCATTCTTGAAGATATACTTGTTTGCTTTAAGGCTTAGTGTTATTGAGCTATGCACCCTGATTTCGTAAACCACTTTCGGGGTACATCTTACATTACGTACAGTTGTGATAGGATTAACGAAATACGAAGCGGATAGAAGGAAGAGAACAGCGATAAATACGAAGAAACCAGTGTAGAGGGAAGAAAGGCCGATTCTGCAATTACGTTCCAAAACAGAGTTGCTAACTTCTTTTGACCACATTTTAATATCATTGTCTTTGAAGTTTATGTTATGAAAAACTTCATTAATGATGCATGAACCTTCAAAATAAATCTCCGAGGCAATAGGGAAATCTAAAATTCAATTTATTAAATCAGTATTAAAATTAAACTTCAGACGAATCAAAACTGATCCTGATTCAAATAAGAATTCATCAAAACAAATGAAGTTCAAATATTGTAACGTACAAGGCGCATTTTTAATGAAACAGTTTTATAGCTACATTTCATAATTTAAAATATTATGGCTCTTCGTACCTACCGTTATGCTGTACATACACAATTTGCAATAACCACGTGAATAAAATAAACAGAAATTTCGGAAATAAACGGAAGAAAAATCTATGTTAGTAAAATATTAAGATGGAGCTTAAAATTCAAATGATTAAAAGGATATCATTCAACCAAATCATCGATTAATAATGAATAAATGCCGGCATTAAAAGATTACAATGAAACGAGATTATTTCCATCAAGGAGCTGACTGGGACTCGTTCCCTGATTTCCTCCGCGATGTCCCCTGGGATGTTTCTCTTTACGCTCCCCGTCCATGAATGTGCTTCTGAGGTCTCATCCTGGGTTAAAGCTGGAATCGACGCTTTCATCCCCTCAAAAAATATAAGTCGCGCTCCTCCCCCTGGTTCTCCGCTGCTTTCTCAGCCGCCATTGCTCATAGGAACTACCTCTTTCACCTATTTCGTAGCGACATTTCAGACTGCAATAGACGTCTCTTTGCCTCCGCCCGTAACGAGTATAAGCGTGTCCTCAACGATGCTAAGTCACTATTTGCTGATCGGATGTATTGCATCTCGCAAATTTGGCTCCAAAGATTATTGGCGTCTCTGCAAGAGCGTATTGAACAATTGCAAACCCTGTATACCTTCTTTGTTCAACCAGTTCGAAGTCCTGACCTCCTCTGCCGACAAGGCTGAATGCTTTGCTCGGAAATTTTCATTCAACTCGACGCTCGACTCTTCCGGTGTACCCATACCCGACTTCTCTCTTAGAACTGAGGCCTTATTGAGTGGGTTACACATAACCCCGTCTTTAGTACTGGGCATTATCTCCAATTTAGACCCCAACAATGCTAGTGGTGGAGATGGGATACCAGGCATTGTCTTGAAGAAATGCGCGCCTGAACCGGTGCCGCCCTCTCTAAACTATATAACTACTGCCTCAAGGAATCTTGTTTTCCTTGACTGTTGAAAGTCCTCTTCGATTGTTCCTGTCTTCATGAACTCTGGCGACCCCTTTGACCCTTCTAATGACCGACTTATCAGTCTCCTACCCCTCTTCGGCAAAGTCTTCGAAGCTCTAATCAATATCGAAATGATTAACCACCTTACATCCCATGATCTGCTCTCAGACAAGCAATATGACTTCCACTACGCCCGATCTACAGCTGATGTGCTTACGGCCATCACTGAAACTGTCTACCAAGCTCTTCAAAATAAGGGGGTAGCTCGTGCCGTGGCCCTAGATATCTCCAAAGCGTTTGATAGGGTTTGGCAAGCCGGCCTTCTAAGCAAGCACCAGGGTTATGGCATTACGGGTCGATTGTTTGACCTAATACAATCATTTATTTCGGATTTTAGAATGTTCTGACTTTTTTTTAGCAAAGTCAGAACATTCTAAAATCCGAAATAAATTTAATAATGAAAATTAGAACTACGTAGTTATTAAAAAGAAATTAACTGGCATTATTTACATTTTTCGTAATGTTATCCTCATCTTCATATTCACAACGTTTCGTTTGTTCTAAGTTCCGGCGTTCTTCAGGTGGTTGGAATTTCGAACCTATCTCTTTATTTAGTACACTGTTCTATTTTCACGTGCTGTGCCTCTTCCGGTTGTCTTATTTCCTTTAACTAGAACTATGTATCCCGGTGGACGAAATAAAGGGTTCGTTCGAAATTCAAATCACCTGAAGAAGAACGGAGCGTACAACGGCCGAAACGTTATGAATATGTCAATGAAGAGGAGGAAAGCGGTTCGAATAACGTAATAACGCAAGTAATCATAATACCTCATCTCAGAGATATAGATAGATAAATGAACATGCAAAACAGTACATTTCATTACGTTTACTTAATTTCAGTGAAAGTATTCATCTGAAATATGAATACATTAAACAATATTCCAATGATTTACATACATCGAATGCGTTCTATACATGAATTTCACTCAAATATTTTCCATACAGAATATTAACTTAAATATATTATACGGTTGTGACATACAGCACTCATTATCTCAGAACTGATCAGAACATCAGAATATGACAAGTACGTCTAGCACATGTAGGTGATGTCTTAAAAGATTAGAACTGACAAACAGACAATATTTGCGATCCCTTTCTTTTTCAACGCTTAATATATATACAAGGTGCTATGCTGACCTGACAAAGAAGCAATTACGCACATATTTGCTATTTAATCAATCTTGGGAAATGGTTTAAACTGAAAACATTTCATCTCTCTCTCTCTCCATCATACACGCACACATCCATATATATAAGTTGCATATGAGCAATTCAAAGTTGCATTGTAAGTGACAGCTTCAAGCATTAAATATTCATTAGAGCTTCTGATTGCATAAGCCAATCATCACGAAATACCGAATGAGGATAAACATGCAGTGTTCATTTCTATGTCCACATTGTATCTACAAATATTATCCTAGATACCAGGCATTCTCATAAGTATAACAAATTATATGTAACACTAGCAGCATGGCCCGGCGTTGTCAGTGCTTGATTCAAAAATCTTACGACTCATACAGCAATCGCTATCACTTGACTTAAAATATTTTTGCTCTTCCTTGACTTTAAAGGAATGCCCTTTGCCGTGCTGATGTTGGCACATGCCTTACTTCTTGCCTATATCACACTGCGAATTTTTTCTAAGCTCTATACTAAACATTAAATCTGTTACGAAAAAAGAACTAAAAATGAACACAAAACGACCAGTTCTAAAAAAAGGACTGGAAAAAACGAATGAAAATGAATGTTAACAACAAGGACTTTTTCACATCCAACCCAGTTCTGCGGAATCAGTATCAACGCTGAGTTTAAGCAAGCGAATGAGCCAATTGGAGTAAAGTGCCATTCAGATTTAAATTTTTCCCACTTGTGACGAATGCAGTTATCGAATTTTTTGCATGCTAGCATGCTAGTTAACATTCGTGTCAGTCAGCTGTTTGCTCTCACGCTGGCCAGTACAAATTGGCCGCAAACTACATGAAAACTGCCGTAGAAGCATTAAAAAATCGATTATTTCCACTATCGATGGGAGTTGGGAAATGCAAAGTCGGTCTTGGCCTTCCCGCTAACTTGGAGCACGTGCATGTAAACTTTGGTGCAAATCCGTCGAAAATTGCGGCCGTGCATTCGTTACACGCGCGCGCGCGCACACACACACACATCCTGCCTTTTGTAGATAGAGATGTTTTTCGAATTTCAACTGAAAAGCTCGTTTGTTTTGTATTTCTAGAATTTCAGCATTTTTTTTCGAACGTCTCACATAATGTCAAGAATGATATGCTTTCAGGATGGTAGACAAGATTTGCATTGTTACATCCTCGCAATTTTAGAAAGACACATTTTAAATATATGAGTATATAGTATTTATCATCAAACTCCTTCTAGGGTTTTGGAGATAAACCTCCCCATAAGCGTATATATTCTGAAACTACATTGCCCAGGGTACTCGGATAAATGTATTTCATTTTCATCAAAGGGGGCCGCGGGGGACACAAATCTCCCGCTCAATTTCCCCCGCCTTGAATAAAAGAATGCAGCATATTTAGCTTAATTATAGAATATATAATTGTGATTTGTTAGAGGAAATAAATATAATGTTTATCCTTTGTACAGATTTCATAGAGCTCTTGAAGGTACCTGATTGCCTGTTCTTCACACTGATTTCTTTAGAATTCCAAAACTTCCAGAGTTTAATGCATTTTGTGAGCTTGCAAATTGTAATGTAGCTTCTGATAATCATCTGTATTGTAAATTTAGTTAGTGATCCAATGATTTTAAGTAGCGAGTCTTTTCTGAGATAGAAGAATAAATGCCAAAAGAGCTAGCATTACTCTAGAATTCCATATTGCATTCTTTAAGACTAGATATTCTTTGAAACATGACTTTAGTAAATATTCCATTTTCTTCGAAAAAGCGTAAACGAGTTAAATGAAGTAGAAATTTCATATCAGGTCGTTCTACTGTTTAAGTAATCTCTTTAACATTCTTAAAATTGAGTTTTTCATAATTTACATTTTAACAGATAAACGGATATTCGTTATCGGGTGAGGTGTTGTTTTCTGCAAATTCGTCATACATTACTATGCGAAAAACTATTAAAAATGGTGGTTATTCCAGTTCTTTTTAGTACATACTCTTTGAAACTGAATGACAATGAAATTCCTGCTCCCAGTGTTCAAATTATCAATGTCCGCATCAATCATCAGTATGCCATTCCATGAATTGTATTTATCCAGGACAGCAGTTATTCCTTTCACAAGAGTATCCACATTTACATTTGGTATATCTAATGCTTCTAAATTAACTTTTTTTTCATTCTTCGAAACAACTACTTGATACCCTTGACCATCAATTCGTTTACTATCAAAAAGTAACGATCAATTTTTTAAGTATAGTGTTTTCTACTGTAGATTTAATAGCGGATCTGTAAATAGCAGATTTACAAAACGCTTCAACGCTAATACCTTCTTGATAACTGCTGACCCACATTTTCTTCTTTGCTGATTTAATATTTTTGATTAAGTTACTAAACCTTTTGCAGTTTTAGTATACTTCCATTTCCTTCTGGATTGTTTTCCAGAATTTTCGGACTCTTCATTTTCACGCCCAGAGACAGTTTGATTCGGCGGATATTATTATTCTTGCAGTTTGTTAGTTATATTTGTTTCTGTTTAGTTTTTCAACCAGGTTGCCGGAATTTTTTATTCCATCGTTCCAAGGAGATGGGTTAAAATTTTTGTTATGGTTTCAGCCAGTTTGTAAACCTAGGTGATAAACTCATTACTAGTACAGATATAAAACTACTTTGCACTGAAATCCCGGGAGAAATATCCTTAAATCTATTAAAAGAAACATCTTCATACCAATAGCCAAAATACAAAATATGGCGTCTCATCATCAATCCGTAAGTTTTCACATTTAACAATGTTTGTAAACAAAAATTTGGATTACCTATGGGATCGTCTCTTAGTGGAGTGATAGTATATATTTTCTTAGAATAATATATCAGATCTGGTCCTTTCCAAAATATTTTACCTAAACAATCATCATACCTACGCTATATTGATATTGCTTTATTAATATATGATGCATTCGGCAGAAGAGGCACGTAGTCAAAAAAAAAAAATCGATTTTTTTTTTTCACTGAAAATTATTCATTGAATCGTATCAAAGTATTTTTTACAAAAATAGAGTCGATTACACACAATTTCAAGCTCGATTTTCCTTTATAGTTCTAACTATGCAATGAGTTAGCATAAACCGTAGGTATGTCTGCGGAATATCATTACATTTTTGTTGCATAAATATAATGAAATGATTAAAGTATTCTGTCAAAAACATTTTATTTTTCGTCGTATATTAATTTAAAATATTACTCCCCCCCCCGACAATGAGAATTTCCATCACCATACTACGTATATATAATTAGAGATAAACAATATCATTTGCCTCTTGATCATATTTCTTCGAGACCTTTTGCTGAGACCTGAACAATTACCAAATTCATAGTGCTGACAATTTATTGGATTGGTGCATAATTATCAGGCGTTTTTGTAATCGAGTTATTTGGTAATAAAATTGCTGTTTTGTTTACTTTTTTAAATATTTTATTTTCAGGTTATAAAATGCGTGTTGATAATCAGACCCTCAGGAATAATCATTTGAAAATGTTATCGAATTGTTATGTTTCTTCTTTCATAATAAATATTCTTTTAAAAACGCCTGATAAGTATGCACCAACCGAATATATATGTATACAATTGGCATAAAATAAAAATAATTTAATATCACTTCTACTTAAATCTTTTTGTACATTACCCTCGATATGTAGAATATTTCAGAGTCAAAATTTCTGAAAATACTTACACTGGGATTAAAAAGAATCAGTCAGCTATGTGCCATGAGTGATACACGCCTAGGCGATCATGTATCGAAAGATACATGACTGACGAGGCAGATTCTTTCCCGAAGTAGGTTGTCATTTCTTCCTGCGGTAGATCAGTTGCCATCCAATATTCAGCATTGGTTCCCGGTCTGTCCCGGTCTGTCCTGCTATTTATTTATTTTTTGTTTTGGGTGGGGGAGAAGAGGATGCATACCTTTCCCAAGGGTATTAGCATGTAAGGGAATTTAATGGATTTACTGGAATTCGATTCCTCAATCCGAGCTGCTACATTACTCCACCAAAAAAAAACAAAAAAAAAACGACAGATTTTCAGAATAAGAACCGATAGTTGAAAAATACGCTTGCTGGGTCTCATGTTGGAACTTTGTAAACGACAGGCGTCGCATCATATTCGTTGGAAAGTTAGAAAAACTATATTTGCAAGATATTGATCATACCAGAAAATCTTTCATGCAGACGATCTTTAGGCAATCAAGCGTTTTCAAAGTTTGAGGTCCTGTCTGATTGATACATTACCACTTTGGAAAAACAGTAAATTTGCGAGAATCGATTAAAGCAAACGAATTTTAGTAGCTAGTTTTCTGGGCTACGGTAGCAAACTTGGTTTGTGGAGCCATTTTAAATTTACATGATTACATAAAGGAAATATTTCCTCTATCACGTGAAAATATGTAGTTTGAATCAGGCAAGTAATTTTCATATCAATGTATCTGTAATATCTTATGTTTTATCATTAATATCTAATGCAGCTGCAAAGTCACAGCTGATTCTTATTCAGAAAAGCAAAAATAATATTTCCCGAAAGCAGATAACGGAATTGTAGAATTATCACAATTTTAAGCTTATCAAATGCAATAAAATTTTTAGCTAAATAGGCTGCGATTTCATATTTATATATTACTTCTACGAAAC